TTCTTGTGATGTTAAAAACTGTAAAAGGTAGAACAACACAATTTAGATGGGGCATAAAAGATTAGAATTGCATAGCCAAGCAGGTACTCTGTAAACAATGATATTAGTTTTTAGGCAAAGGCAAAGTCAATTGTGTAACAGAATTACAGAAACATAAATTAACAGGGGAATTTCTTGGGCATGGGGAAAATCCTGCCAGCCACTTCTCAATGGTGTCCTTAAAGATTTCAGACAAGTAAATTATAAAGATCCAGAGGACCTGATAGTGTTACATAGATCCAATGATACTCGAAACACGGGAGTGGCGGAAACGCAAAAGGGAAAAGAAACCATATAACACTATGTTTAGAGGATTGCACTGCTTTTGTATTTTCTTCAAAGGAGTGATAAGAGACTAGCCTAATATCTTGAACTTCGCTGTTAAAACCTACTTACATCTCTCAGCACACCAAAATTGTCAGGGAGACCCACCATTACTGGCAACAAATTGCCTAGAAACCAAAGAAACCAAGCTCACTGGCTCTTTCTTTCTCGAATGTCTCAAAGTACTGATAGATGATTGTCACTGCAAGCAGAATTCCTGTTCCTGAACCAATTGCACCCATGAAATCGGCCAACACTGTCAGTGCACCGATGCACATGCCTCCAAAAGCAGCAGCTGTGGGAATGTAGCGGTTCAACTCCTTCTGCAAGTTTGATTCACGATGACCAGGCATCACCATTTGTTGTTCCTGCAAATTAAAAAGGGATATTGTTAGCATGATGCTTGGCTCTGTGTATAATCCGTAAAGTTCTGATTTAAGAATTGTTCAAATGCATCTTTATTATATAAATAGTGCATCTGGTATGAATATAATTTGAGGATGATCTGGTCATTAAACTCGAGAGCACGAAGTGAAACAAATCATAAGAAATATATTAGAAAATACATAAAGGGTAGGAATCTACCCACACTAACCCCCTCATTTGCAAGAAAGAGATCTCAACAAAAATATAAAAACTTTCTTTGGTCTATTAGAGAATACATAACTAAACTATTCAGATTTAATACCTTGAGCTGCTTGGCAACATCCTTGGCAGAGGATCCAGAAACTTCAATCCATGTTTTTGAGAAAAGCGCACAGGCTGACAACATGAACACAAGATAGAAAAGTGCATGGAAAGGATTGGCTGCCATATCAGCTAAGCTGCAAAACATTATAGCAAAATATCAATTGAAGCACAGATAATCATCAGGTTTGCCAACAAAACTGCAACCTTTATCAGGCAGAGTAAATAAAGGAAAACATTCTGAGTTACCTTGAAGGTGCAGTGATATAATATGCAAGACCACCGACAGGAACGAATTGTCCACCTGAATATTCAGACTCCTTCCACTTACCCAAAAGATTCACAAGGAAATTTCCACTGTACCTCCTGTACAGCAACTGTACATAAACATTTAAAAAAGCATTGTTACAATATACATTAGAAGAAAGTCCCCAAACTGCCAATACAAACATTTAAATCTCCAGTACCTGGGAGATGAAGTAAAGGTTGGAGACAAGTGCAGACTGCAAAATGATGGGCATGTTGGAGGTGTAGAACAGCTTGATAGGATAGGAACCCTGCTGTCCACGAGCATTCTTTGATCTCACAGGTAGAACCACACGGAACCCTTGGAAGTAGATTACTATTAGGAAGATCAACACTGTCGCAAGCAGATTTGTCACATTTGGAAGATTCTGCCGGTAAAAGGCCTCACGAAGAGCTCGAACCTTATCTGTTCGAGTTATCAGCAGATGGAACAGGGCAATAACAGCACCTTCAAATTCAGCTCCTCGCCCACTGTTGATAGTGGTGGGACTAAACGCTTTCCAGATAATGTTTTCACTGAAAAAGAATTATATAACTTTTTAAGTACTCAAATTCGGAGTAGTATATCAGAAAATTTCCACAAAATAATGAACAGACTGTAAGTTGTTATGCAAAAGATCCCATTGCTGGACATAACTAGGCAGGAAAGGATTACAAACTCACCAGATATTGGTGGCAATGAAAAGGGAAATTCCAGAGCCTAGACCATATCCCTTCTGAAGTAGTTCGTCCAAACATATCACAATGATACCAGCAAAGCAGAGCTGAATGATAATGAGAATGGCATTTCCAACTCCAAGTTGGCCAACACTACCATACATCCCTGAGAGAACATAGGCAACTGCCTCACCAATAGCTATCAGGATGCCCAATAACTTCTGTGCTCCATTCCTGGGAAGAAAAATGGAAATCATCACATGGAATACAAATAGCAATATGCATATGCGGGTTGAAAATGAAAGAGAATGCTAAATATTAAAGCCACCTATAGTGATCACAATTAACATACGCCATTTTTTTAGGCTTAGTTTCCAAAAAATTTCCAAATACAGTTTTTAGAAAGCAGTACAACAATGGCGCTACAATTTCTCAACCCAAAACTGAAAACATATTCTAAAAACAATAACTTTTCCAGCCTGTTATGAACACCCTTTGGGCGGCATTGATCCCAAACAGTATGCAAACGAACAAATCAATACAGATTAACCCAAATAAAATTCGAAGGTCTCAAGATATATACTTACAAAAGAGCACGATCTTCGCGTACATTGTTGTCCACTTCAATAATCTTAGACCCAGCAAGGAGTTGCATGACCAGCCCAGATGTGACAATTGGGGTGATCCCAAGCTCCATGACAGTCCCTCGATTGGAAGCGAGAATAACACGCATCCAATAGAAGGGATCTGCACCAGTGGTGGAGTGTATGCCATACAGAGGAAGCTGGCTGCATACTAAGAAAATGAAGAGCGAGATCACGGTGTATATCACCTTCTCTCTGAATGGGACTTTCCTGTCAGCGCTCTGAACTTCTGGCAAAAATGAAAGAAAGGGCCTGACCAAATGAAGAACTCGAAATCCACCCCCCATGTTGCTTCGTCAAGGCTAATCACCTAATCCAAAACACCATTTGAGACCAAGTCAAAAAATTTTGCATCCAAAAACAAAATTGGTTTGGAAAATCTGGGCTTATGCTTGTGGTGATTTAGATCCAGTTCACTCTTATGAAATTCAGAATAGAAACACAATCACACACATGCATATCACCTACACTCACACAATGACATCGGATCCAAACAAAGACAAACAAAGATCAATTTCAGGTTAAGAGACTGACCGTGCAAACCCCAGTTTGGGAGCTCGAAACCCTAGAAATGGGTTTTCTTCTCTGGTGGGAAAATCCGATCTGAGAGAGCTATTGTCGGATTTTGGATCTCGACCCGAAGCTGAAAACGAGAAATGGACTTCAAAGGCTTGGGCGTTACAAATAAAGGTAGCTTGCTTGTGAAAGTGGGACTTGGTCGCCACGAGGTCAAAGCCAATCAATGATGGACACGTGTCTGTATAAATGACGTGGAAAAAGACACCCTACAGAAACAGAATTTGGAATTGTAATTTAAAGGTGGATCATTCCCAAAAAAAAAAAAAAAGACGGATCATATTCTCTTTTTTATACATGAATCCATAATGCTGATAGATTTTAGTGTTTTTTTTTTCCTAAAACGTTTGTCCATCCTTTTTTCTCTTATTATTATTTATCATCGTGAGTATTTTTCAATGCCAATGATCATAGCACAACTGGCATTATCATCAATCTACTGATCATAGCTCCTAAACTTTCAATTTGGTTATGAGCTCCCTTAAACTTTCAATTCATGCCAAATGTCCTCATGTTATTAATTATATCAATTATTTCGTCAAATTGAGGGTCATTTTAGCTCATTCAAGTTCATACTTAATTTTACCTACTTTCGTCATACCCCTCACCCAAAATATACAAGATATTAAAATTTCTAACAATGATTTTACCAAACATGAGAATGATTTCTCACACCTATTTATTCTCGTGACTCTAATCCACAAATCAACGTGCCTTAAAATTTTTCATCCTGCTTTTTCTGCTCAATTAAATTCTTAAATATTGGACCAAAATTTATTCATAAGATGCAAATTTGGAGTAAATGCTTGGTTATGTCGTCAGTTAACTTATATATCTCTTAGAGCATCCACAATCATGCTCTCTATTTTTTGTTAGATTTTAACTAAAAACATATCAAAGTTATTTTAGGAGCTCTCCATAAAATTTAAACTCCAATTGTGTTTTCTAGTTTAGGGAGTCATAAATACTCTAACTCTTTTTCAAATTGGTCAATCTCTATTAAAAAATAATATAAAAAATAATAAATATTAATTAAAAGTTTGAAATACTCATTAAATAAAGTAGCATTAAATTATAGGGAGCTACTAGGAATCCTTTCTCTCTCCTCAGATTTAGGAGCTCTTAGAGAACTCCCTATTTTAAGAGGTGGATAGGGAGCGTGATTAGAGTTGTATTTTTATAATTCCTCCCTAAAATTTGTATAAGGAGGTGGTTTAAAGAGCTCATTGTAGATGCTCTTAAAGTTAGTTATAAATTACATATGATGAAATCAAACACAAAACTGACGTAATTGACGGTTAGGTGATTATTGGCATAAGCTGAAAGTTCTGGGGCTCAAATCAAATTAAAAGTTCGAAAAGTTAAACAAAGTTCAAAGTTTCATGGAGCATTGGTGAAAAAAAAATTCTTCTCAATTAAAGTAGAAGATAATTATCCCAGTAATTAATTTTTTACAAATTTATAAATAAACCCAATCCTAGACATGTATTTATAAAAAAACCCAAGCACTATTTAAACATAGAAACACACCCAAAATCAACTCCAAAGTCAACTTTTTGGGTGTGTTTATAAATGGATTTTGAGTATGTGTAATGATTGGTTTTGGGTGTGTTTATAAAGTGTTTTGGGTGTTGGGTTTTTTTATAATTTCAACATTCATTTTGGGTGTTTTAGTGAAACTCCCTTAATTTTTCCTCCCAGAAAAAGACTCACCTTCCGAAAAAGTGAAAAAGGCAAAAAAGGAAAACGAGAAAGTGTAGAGATTAAAAAAGATCCAAGGAGAGAGAGAGCGTGAAAAACACTACAAAGCCAGAGGTGTGTACCGCCTGTCAGTCACCATAATCAAGCTCCCCAAGTACTGAGCAAAAACACGGAGCCCCAGTTGGTACTTTGCTTCCAAAACCCAAAATTTACAAAACGCAGCTGCTCTGCAATTCAAATCGAAGTCATGATTTCCTCGTAAACCTACTTATACTTGAAAATTCAAACCAACTTGCTCATCTCTCTTCCTCAGTGCAATGAGAAATTCAATTTTCTTTCTCACTCTCCTAACACTCACTGTCGCTTACTCCCTCCAATTCCAAGCTCACGCTGCTCCTGCAGGTAAACTATTACTCACCAACTTCTCTAACTCTCTCTTATGTTTTGGGTTCTGTGTTTGATCTGTTGGGTTACTGGGTATGCTTTGTTTCCTCACTTGCTTCTCTTATGAATGTATAGCTTTATTATATAGATAATTAGATACCCAGTTCTTAGTTTTCTTGGTTATACTAAATTTGTTCTCTTTATTCTGATATTCCCAAATAGCTTTCTCTCACTCATAGACTTGGTAATGATAATATGTTGGCTTCCTGTGATCTGCATATATACATCCTGGGTTTTTAAGTTTCTTACTTTTACTTCACTTATGATATGGTTTTGAATGAACTGTTTGCTCAGGGCCATTAATAAAACACTTGTCTTCTCTTCTCAAGTGGACCAGGGAAATTTCCTCCAAAACACCGCAATCAGGTAATTTGAAGTGACTTATTAGAATATTTGGTTCTTTTTCATGACCTTTATGCCTAATTGGCATAATTTCTGTACAAGTCTTATATGGTTTATCACTTTGTTTTATTGCAGATGGGAATGTTCTTCAATTTGAGAATGGGTACTTAGTTGAGACTGTTTTGGAAGGTAACGACATTGGAGTAATTCCTTACAAAATCCGCATCTCAGAGGATGGCGAACTCTTTGCCGTGGACTCCGTTAACAGCAACATTATGCGGATTACTCCGCCTTTGTCCCAATGTATGCAACAATACTTGTGCTGTTTTACCTTATTTGAGATTGTTCCCTTCTTTTCCCTAACTTGATATTTAAATTTCCATTTTTACTTTTTTGACATTTTTCTACTTCAAATTTTTTTCTTTTGGTCAGATGAAAGTTTTCTGTGTCAATTAATTTGATGCTCATATTTTCTTTTACTTTTGCTAGTTTTTATATTGTTGTAGAAGGTGGTTTGACTGTGGAATTCAATATCGTTGAGTTTTAGAGTAATATGAACATTTCCTTACTGCAGATAGTAGGGGAAGATTGGTTGCTGGGTCATTTCAGGGTTACACAGGACATGTTGATGGAAAGCCAAGTGATGCTCGTTTCAATCATCCCAAAGGTGTAACTATGGATGATCAAGGGAATGTATATGTTGCTGATACCGTGAATCATGCCATAAGAAAGATTGGAGATGCTGGTACATCAATACATGTAGTTCTTGTTACTTTCATAGTTAGTTAGAAGCTTATACAGATGTATGCTGGCAACAAGTGAACTAAGGAAAAATGTCAAATTTCTTTATGTATGTATGGCATGTATTTATGTTGAATTAGCAAAACTAAAGTATGGAAATATAACTTGTACACGGGAATGTAAACTGTAAAAATTCCGAAGTTTTCTAGATTCTTTTCATTGAAAACCTTATTTACAAATTCCGATAAAAAGATTGAGTGGATTTTGTATAAATTATATTGTTCACATTCTTATACAAACTTTTTGCAGGTGTGACAACCATTGCAGGCGGGAAATCAAATGTGGCAGGCTACAGGGATGGGCCCAGTGAAGATGCGATGTTCTCAAATGATTTTGATGTGGTATATGTTCAATCTACTTGTTCCTTGCTAGTTGTTGATAGAGGAAATGCTGCTCTCCGGCAGATCTCTCTCAACCAGGAGGATTGTGATTATCAGTACAGTTCAATTTCTGCCACAGGTTTGATCCGCTGTTGCTTATGTTTACTTTTCATTCATTAATGATGACATAAAAGCTCTATAACTCATGTTTTGGCTGTTATGGAAATGGAAATAGCTACACCATGCAATGTGTCTAGGCAGGCATACTCACTGATCTTCATGTGCATATGTACTATCCCTAGAATTTGCATAGGTTGTGTATAGCTGTTTTTCCTTTTAGTTTATGCAAGTGTGATTTCACATATTCTACTTTATGATGAACATGCACAATGGTTTGATTAGTTCGCTTTGCTGACAAATGCTTATCGTTGTGTAATATTTAATTTGATACTGTAAATGAGAGAGATGTCAAATAGAAGGTCTATGTCTTGGAGGATCCAAAGAAAAACCATGGTGTGTCAAACTTTAAAGTTCTTATTATTAAGAAGCAGAATGTGTGGAAGATGATGGCCCATAAGTTGCCTTATCAGCTCAACTGTAGTAAATGGCCATTAACTGATCAATGGGGACATAAAATAGCAGAGATATAGCAGCCATTTGACACTTGTTGACATAAAATTACAAGTTCAATTTGATGAATTCTTGTGTCGGCTGGATGTAATCTGGATTGAGGAATACTCTTTATGAAGATCGGGTGTTCACTTCATTGTAGTTCTTGATGTATAGGATGTCTCTATATGTTTGTTAAAATTGTTTCCTTTGCAGACAATTGTATGGATATTAAGGAAGTAAATTCATTTCTAAGCTAGGAATAAGCATCACTATGCTAGTAGAAGCCAAATGAAATAGGGCATGAGCTTAGAGAAGTAGTTTACTGGTGTCTAGACCGTTGCTCATATAACATTATACTCATCATCTTCATCAATGTCATACACTCAGCTTTTATTGTACTGATGGTAGGGGGCTGTTGGAAATCTGAGACCACTGTATTGTGCATCCAGTATAGAGCATATGATTCTGTTTGACATTCTCCTTTTTGCACAAGATATATATAGTGTGTTCAGTTTCTTTAAACGACACAGATTTTGTTAATGATTTGCTTCTCTTTTAGTGTTTCTAATAAGCTTGTTATAATCCTGCATTATATGCGGCATTAAAATATCAGATATTTATGATGTCTCATGATGACGAGAGCTTCAAATTCTACTTCAGATTGTGCTGCCTTTTTCTGACTGCCATTTGTGGGTCTTTTTGGCAGATGTGCTTATGGTTGTTGGTGCTGTCTTGGTAGGGTATGCTACATGCATGCTTAAGCAGGGATACGGACCTTCTTTCTTCTCGAGAACGGTATACCTCTTATGATCTACTAATGCATAAACATTATATTTCAAAGCTTGTCCTTGGTCTAGTCATGAATTTTACCAAAATTTGATTCATTTTCCACCCTTCTCAGCTAATAAATGCGTGACAAGTAAAACATGTTATTTAGTCAAATATTTCTGCCCTTATTTTTTTTCATTACTGCTCGACGCTCGTGCATGCTTCAGTATTCACAATTCTCTCTTTCGTTTTCCTTTTTCTTTTTTCTTTCAAAGCATTCGCTAATCTCTGAAGTTGCCTTTTCTCGTGGAAAGGAAAAGTATGCTTCTGTGGTTTTACCATTTGTAAAAGTTTTTCCTAGGTCTTGCCAAGTCAATCCATCTTTTTATTTATTGCAATGTAATAGAGCTGTGCATGCTTCCCATTGTGGTAAATTCTGTTTGGTGCAATGCAAGTTGTGTTCCTTGCCTAATGTAATGCATAACTTGTGTAGCAGCCACCTTTAAAGAGTGAAATTAAAGAGCATCCAAGCAATGGGAAATCTTCTCCAATGGTGGAGAGCATGAAAGAGGAACCAGGATGGCCATCTTTTGGACAGCTCATCATTGATCTATCCAAGCTTGGGCTTGAAGCATTGGCTGGCATATTTGTTCACTTCATCCCCTCCCGTTTTATGCCTGGTGGCTCCCAGAAAGGCCTCACTCCATTAAAAGATGCTCTTAGGATGCCTGAAGATGAAGCTGTGACCCCATTAGTTCAGAGACAAAGTGCTCCTGCTCCTCTATCTGAGACTCGACAGGCCCATACTCCCAATGCAAGTGAGAAATATTCAGAAATGAAGCCACCAAAGATGAAGTCAGCTAGTTTTAAAGATCCCTCTTTGTCAAGCAAGCACCGGTCTTCAAAGCGACAGGATTCTGCAGAATTCTATGGATCTGGTGAGGTTTCTTCTTATAGCAGGTCTAAGAGTCAGAAAGAAAGACCAAGGCACCGCCAACGAGATAAGAGTGGCGAGATGGTTTTTGGAGCTGGGACAGAACCAAAACCCATGGATATGAAGGCTGCTGGTTATGACAACCCAAGGCACCGCCAACGAGATCAGAGTGGCGAGGTAGTTTTTGGAGCTGGGACAGAACCAAAACCCATGGATATGAAGGCTGCAGGTTATGACAATCCGAAGTTTGAAAATTACAATATCAGGAGCAGGTATGGACCTGATAGCTCGTACCGCTTTTGATCAAACTGTGACCTAGTGATTGCTGCCTTCAAATTTCAGCTAGTTTTTGCCTATCTTGAATGTGCATCCTGTATTTCATTTTGAACTAGTCTGTAACCGAAGATGTGTTTTAAAGAGAAAAATACAGATGGCTTAGCTGAGACTCAACAATGGTGTAACAAGCACTATCTTACATATGACTGTTTAGTTTAGGGACCATAACACGACTGTCATTTTGTTAGGAAGTTAATGAGAAACTCGACATGCAGAATGGTTTTGCATATTTTCTATTTTCTTCTTTTGTTTTGCATAATATGGTCACTGGTTGGAAACTCATACGCTAATCAGGTTGATATCGTTAAAAATTAATAAATTTGCAAGTATTTCGAAAAATAGTAAATGTATTAGTGAATTGCCTTCTAGGTATAGGGTGTCATAATCATATATTTATAATAGGTGGGTGGATATTGGTAAAACGGTGATGGATAGATGCATTCAACCTGTAAGGGTGTCGACCTGAAAAAAAGAGTGCTGATTATATCTCTTTATTGAAGATAACTATAGGCTGTATACCTATCGCCTCAAGTAAAGACTTTAAGCTGTAAATTTCACGTTTACAATTGATTGAGTTTTGCATAAACGGCCAAGGGATGTAACATGTGCCTCGGGGATGCCTTTAGTTAGAAGAACACTGATCTTACTTTCAACCCAAGAGAAAAAAGACTATTGATTTTATAATCAATAATATATATATATATATATATATTTTTCCTTATTGGCAACATTTCATAAAATTCAAATAATCTCGCATCAATGTATTTATTAATTTTGTTTTCTAAATAAGGACCAAGGTATTAACTTTATATTTTTATTAAGTTTGAATACTAGTGTTATTAGAAATTTAACTTATCAAAATTATTATATAAGTAAAAGAAAAAGAATTGAGCTTAACCTTCAAACATCTTTTCAAACCAAAAAAATAAAATAAAACAATTTAGTTTGGTAATTAATTAAAGGAGAGAAAATAGCTAATTTTAAAGTAATTTACTTGCCGTGTTTATTATTAGAATACATTTCTATTGGATTCCATACGAAAGTCGTCGACATGTCTTTTCAGTACACTTGACGACATTGTAAGTTGTAACGAATTGAAATTGCGTCGATTGACCAATGTTTTAAAAATAGCTACGCAGATATAAAAAAAGGAAAAAAAATCTTATTTATTTGTTGCTAAAATTCAGGTTCTTAAGCAGCAGATTCTTGGGTCAGATGATGACTGATAATGTTGTCGCCCAGGTTGTTGCTGCACAAACTGATGAATGTAGAGTTCAATTTCGTTTCCTGTACAGGCAATATATATTAGTTATTGGTTTTAGAAGGTTTGGGATCTTGATCATGTGGTTTCTAAAGACTGAATTATGTATAAAATTTACACGACTGAAGAGGTAGCCTTTCTAACTGATTAGAGGATTCAAAATAAGGTGCAAATCTTGAACAAAGAATTTGATTCCCTGTTTATAAAGCGGATTTATTTCAGAAAAATCTCGTTCTGATGTGGTAATACTGTTTTTAAATTTTTTTTTTAAAAAAAAGCCTCATACAGGCGCGAAAGTGTGTATAGAGAGGTTAGTTAATATAAAACATGGGAAATAGATAGGCATAAAACCTAGGGTTTCTTCAAAGGGAGCATTTGCTAACGGATGGGTTGAGAATCTCTTAATTATATTTAAATGAATAGCCCGTCGGCTATACTTTCTAAATACATTCAAATATTTTAAATGTATAAATGTTAATATATTCGAATATTTCAAGAGTATAGCCGCGCGGCTATACCGTTTTAATCTACTCCAAACGAACACGAAACTTGCACTCGCAGAGGACGGAGGTTGCAGTTGAAGTTTCGCTTCTCTATCAACTCAAGCTTCGATTTGTTTTCTTCGGTTTTGGTTGCTTCGTCCTCCGGGTTCGGCAACGAAAAAAGACCCAACCCGCCTAGGAGGCCCGCCCAGCCGCCTAGCGCCCGCCTAGCCGCCTAGCCCCCCGCCTAGGCCCATTTTTTAGAGTCTAAAGCACAAGATTCTGGGGATAGACTCGAAACGGTTGCCTCTCAGGCTCAAAAGGTCATGCACTGATGTACTCAATCCATCTTTGGTCTATGGCTATGAGTCTGTGATGTTGTTAGTGTGGTGTTCATTTTGCCATTGGCTTCTTTCTCTTTGCTTTCAGATGGCTGACATTGTTACAGAACAATGGATTCAAATTCAGCGCCTTGAGCAGGCTCTTCATATTACACAAGTAAGTTTTTTCTGCTTGAAACTGGTTTTGGGTTCTTTATTTGCTAAATTCATAAGTTTTGCTGATTCACTAATATTTGATAGTTTCTTCCTGGTTGGACTGCTTTTCATTCTTTGGATATTGCATTTCTGTTATAGATTTTGACATTTGATCATGCCCTCTTGTTTTCTGAGAGAAAAAAGAAAAAAGAAGCAAGATTTGGCTCCTCCTCCTGTTGCATAGGAACCCAAACCCAACGCACCAAAGGACAGAAAAAAAAAATTGAAATATTTCACCACCTCAAGTGAAAAATCTAATTCATTTAAGCTTTTATATTTGTTCTTGTATCAGCATATGTGTTTCTGTTGTGTGAACCCCACCTCAACTCCAAAGAAAACAAATAAAAAAAATTAGAGGGTGCATTTCCTAACGCATGGGTTGGGAATCTCTTCATTATATTTAACTTTTCAAACTGACTTCAAAAGCACCAGATTAACATACCAACATGAAATATCGTTTATCGAGCCTCTCTTAGTGTAAAAGGACTGTGACTTCATTAGCTGAAAATGCTTTAGAAGAAGGATTGACCTCAAGTTCATTGACATCCTTTTCACTATAAAACCTGGCTTTTAAGGTTGAGGCAATGACCCTTCGATTTTGAAGGATAGCAAAGATTATTCTGCGAACATCTCCAATTTTGAAGGATTCCAAAGGTGACAAATATTTTAATCTGATCTCTTAACAATTTGTGTCTAATAATGGCTAATATGCCGTTAGAGAAACAGAGATAGAGGTGTGCATATCACTGTTCTGGTTGTAACATTTGGCTAATATGTACCTACATGAACTATGAATATGTCTGTTTTCTAACTATCCAGCATGGCTGGTCTAACATATATTCTATAAACTTAGCTTTCAATTCAAGCAAAATATGATGATCACACTATATATATGCTTAACAAAACCCTCCATTTTACCTATCGTGCTTTGATTCTATGAGCCACATAATCTCCATTCTCCCCATGTATATATATGGATGATTGGTACGTGCTAGATAGTGAAAGTTTTTGCTTTTTGATATACTCTTAGTGGTGCAATTGGTTGCTCTTATGTCTTCGTCAGAACCAAAGGCTCCTCTTGGTTAACAGAATTCAAAGGAATATGGTTCCAGTGACCATCTAGTAGATGCAACTTTGCCTGCTACTGAAGTCAAATCATCAGAACTGAGTATAAGGAATGGTACAAATAATCGTCACTATTATTATCAATAGTGTCTTCTGCATCACGAGTCTCTTTCTTTGTTTTAATGGAAGTTTGTAACTTAAATTTGTGTTTCTTATAAAAAGAAAAATTATAAATTGCTCACATATCACGATTCTCTTTCTGCAACTCACATATCCCTGCGAGCTCAAAGTCAGTTTACAAGCCTGACAATGTTAAAAAAGGACAAACAATAAAGGAAAACGGATAACCCTCAGTCAGTTAGAAAACAGTCTCTTGACATCATGGTGCAGTGACTCTGTGCTCCACAACTAAGAATTAATCCAGTGCTGCAAAAGACAGTCTTCTCATAACCCATGACTTATCAAAATCATGTTAGGATATTAATAAAATATATTACTACAAATTCATGTTATGCAATCAACTAAGGTTTGATATGCGACACATATGAAACCGGACGTTTGAGCATTCACACACAGACACACAAAAGAAGACCACCGATACGGATCTCTGCAGATCACGAAAGTCAGCATTGTCCATTTAGTACTACAGCCCTAAAGATGAGTGGTAAAATTCTATCATATAGAAGGTTAACATAATTTGTGATAGTAGAAAGTTCAAGGTCATTAAAAGTAAATGAAACGCAGATTGCAGATTAGGTGTGTCCAAGACCCCATGAAGAATTCCTTGCTAGATTTTGGAGCCTGCAATGCAAAGAGACCAGCGTTTTTTTGTCATTCGTATGAATTTTGGAAATATTTCAACAACTCATGTTGTGATTTGTGCATCTTAAAGTTTGTTCCTTTATTCTGTCATGATTTCAACAACTCATGTTGTGATTTGAATTAGAGTTAATATATTGTTTGGTATTAGAAGTTGATCAGAAATATGTTGCTTGAGAATATGTGTGGTTTTTTTTTCTTTTTTTTTAAACTTAAATCTTCCAGTGGGATCGCTTGTGCATCCTATGTTGATGTTCTGAATGCTGTTTTGTCATGGCTGCTGTTTTACATATTTACATATATCAAGTTAATTAAGTGCTCTCAAAAGCTACACTGATGTTTCTTTCTTTAGGGGAGGCTTCATCCTTGATGCAGCCACACCCGGAGAATTCATTGGTGGGTTAAAGACTACCATGTAATGCCAGGAACCAAGGCAAACAAAAAAAAAAAAGAAACTCAGAGAGAATGAGAGGGGACATTGACTCTTTCCAACTAACAGGAACAAGACATTTTCATTAAAGACTACCAATAGATTGATAGTGTTCTTATGGTCAACAAGGACAAGAATTCCAGGGCTGCTCACCTTGAGTACACCTGATGAACCAGTGAGGGGTGTGTTTCTTTTAGTCTGCCCTATATATGGAGAGTCTGACTCTGATTAGAAGAAAATTGTATTAATTTGATAAAGTTTTCTGTAACTATCTCTCACCTTAAAAAAATCTCACAATTAGCAGCATTGGAAACTTGATTAGAAATTAGAAACCCTACAGTATATAGTTTAAGTTGGTAGCTGGGAAGACAATTAGTAAGCTATCAATACTAAAGTTGAATAGTGGGGAGGCAAATTACTAAAGTTCCAAGGACAGATAAATAGGATGAATTTCTCATAAGGGATACCCTTTCACTGTAGCTTGGAGTAGATTTCGTTTTGACACAATATCAATTATCAATGTAAACGCATTACTGATGCATTATCGGCAGTATCGTTGCACGTCATATCAAATTTAGATGCATAATTGAATGCAAATAAACATCACTCTCTCCAGTGTGAAATGGAGAAAATTCTCTTCAATCAAAAGTGGGCTTACTTCAAATTTAGTTCAAGAATGATGGTGTCTTGCCTGACAATTGACTATTAGGAGCGTTCCTCTAGTAGAAAAATCTAAATCATTTGTGGTCATCCACTCACTTGGTTAGTCTTCCAGAATCAAATACCAAATCAACTCAAAGGAAGCTGCAATTTTCTGAATCGTATACTTGTTTTAATTCTTCCTATCGTTTTCTCTCTTTCAGTTTTTTTGTCCCCCTCAAGTTAATACTTAAGTGAGTTGCCAAATGGGGGAAAAAAAGAGAGTAGAAGAGATGAACCCCACATTTGTCTTTAATAGACAAATGCCCAAGAGAAGTACCAATAAGAGCATCTCCAATTGGGAGGTGCTATCCTATAATTTGACACACATTTCTTATTTTTTTAAAATTCTAACATCATGTCATCTATATCGCAATAGGCCATTGTAGTTAAATTTTCAAATAACCAAGTTGCTCTCTATTTCCAAAGAAGACTAGAAAACGACTTACCATCTATCTGGTGCTGCTTCTTCCAAACATTAGAAAAAACAGAGCTACACCCAGGAGGAGCCCAGGAGATGACACAATACTGCCTACTATGATTCTTACTTTCTTCACATTCAATGAGACTATAAAATATAACCCAGGTGGTCTAACCACCACACCCACCACCACCCCCCACCGAGCGGGCGCCGGGGCGGAAATTGGGTTTAGCAGGTTTAGCACTGATTGTTGTATAGTCTTCATGATCTAGGCAGGAAATATATTTGAAAGCAAAAAGAGTGAGAAGTTAGATATTGATAAAGAAAGAAAAAAAAAAATCTGTAATGTCTGTCATCTGTCATCCATTGATCTTAACAGACGAATTTTGAAAGTAGAGTTTGATAATTGTGTCCAAATCCAAAATTATAGAGTAACAACCTTTGGGTTTGGGTTTGATATGTTTTGACTTTATTTTTTGTACATGATCATGAAGAGATGGATAACTCCCAATTGACTGTTCCATATCCAAAGATGTTTCTTTTTTCCCTTGTTTTCTTTAAAATTTGCATTAACACACTGACTTTTGAGATTAAAAATGACTCGATACCTAGTTCTGATGCTGCCATACTAAAATAAATATCTTGCCCATTTTCAGTGAAATTTCTTACATCAATACTAAACCACAGCAGGCACCCACTTCCTCCATCCCTGGTATCCAAGTTTGCAAAAGCTGTGCAGGAGCAGTTCTTCGTGCACAACATCTCACATTCCTTGAGTTCCATACGTCTGTTAAACCCACATACATCATTTGCAGAAGATCCATCATTTGCAGTCTGTTTTGTTCACTCTTAAGGTTTGTTTCCCGTTTCAGCTTAAAATCTTCAGCTTTCAAGTATATGCTAAATTGAAAGCAAATATATAATATTTGGTTGCATTTGTATGTCACAGAGAGACTCATTGGCTACTGATGAGAGGCTTAATGCTCTTTTAGAAGAGGTTCACATCTTTTTCAATTTATTTTTTGCAATTTTCAATTCAATGAAAAAGTAGCAGAAAGGGTTTGTTGGATTTGAGAAATGGGCTTTGCAATGCTTTTTAGGTACGTCTTCTGTGGGCTGCATCAAGAAAGTACAACTTCGATCTTCATCTTTTAGAGTTTAAAGCACAAGATGCCGTCAGGCTCAAAAGGTCATGCACTGATGTACTCAATTCATCTTTGGTCTATGGCTATGAGTGTGTGATGTTGTTAGTGTGCTGTTCATTTTTCCGTCGGCTTCTTTCTCTGTGCTTTCAGATGGCTGACATTGTTACAAAACAATGGATTCAAATTCAGCGGCTTGAGCAGGCTCTTCATATTACACAAGTAAGTTTTTCTCTGCTTGAAACAGGCTTCAGGTTCTTTATTTGCTAAATTCATAAGTTTTGCTGATTCACTAATATTTGCTAGTTTCTTCTTGGTTGGACTGCCTTTCATTCTTTGGATATTGCATTTCTGTTATAGATTTTGACATTTGATCATGCCCTCTTGTTCGCTGAGAGAAAGAAAAAAAAAAAAAAAAGAAAGAAAGAAAGAATTGTCTTCTCCTCCTGTTGCATAGGAACCCAAAACCAACCCACCAAAGAACAGAAAAAAAGAAAATTGAAATATTACACCACCTCAAGTGAAAAATCTAATTCATTTAAGCTTTTACATTTGTTCTTGTATCAGCATCTGTGTTTCTGTTGTGTGAACTCCACCTCAACTTCAAAGAAAAAATAAATAATAAAATTAGAGGGTGCATTTGCTAACGCATGAGTTGGAAATCTCTTAATTATATTTAACTTTTCGAACTAACTTCAAAAGCACTAGATTAACACACCAACATGAAATATCGTTTATCGAGCCTCTCTTAGTGTAAAGGTACAGTGACTTCATTAGCTGAAAATGCTTTAGAAGAAGGATTTACCTTGAGTTCATTGACATCCCATTTTTTGTTGTTGAATTTATGGGTTAAACCCGAGTTATTTGTTATAAATAAAATCCATTTTTTTATTCTTGCCCAATGGGCTAATAGCTGAAAATCATTAGAATGTGAGGTATTAGAAAGAATTTAAGTTCTCATTCCCCAATATAGCTTGTACAAATAAAATAATTGAAGAAATAGCTCTAGTCCAATTGACTAAAGTGGTATTTCAGCCCCAAACCTTAAAATGATATTACAAAATTGTAGAGTATAGCCGTGCGGCTATACTCAGTAAATATAGTAGAATATTTTAAACGAATAGCCGGTCGGCTATACTTTCTAAATACATCCGAATATTTTAAATGTATAAATGTTAATATATTCGAATATTTTAAGCGTATAGCCGAACGGCTATACCCTTTTAATATATTCGAAACGAACACGAAGCTTGCACTCGCAGAGGACGGAGGTTGCAGTCGAAGTTTCTCTTCTCTATCAACTCAAGCTTCGATTTGTTTTCTTCGGTTTCGGCTGCTTCGTCCTCCGGGTTCGGCAACGAAAAAAGACCCAACCCGCCTAGGAGGCCAGCCCAGCCGCCTAGCGCCCGCCTAGCCGCCTAGTGCCCGCCTAGCCGCCTAGCGCCCGCCTAGCCGTCTCGCCGTCCTCCTAGCCGCCTAGCTGCCAGCCTAGGCCCATTTTTTAGAGTCTAAAGCACAACATTCCGAGGATAGACTCGAAACGGTTGCCTCTCAAGTTCAAAAGGTCATGCATTGATGTACTCAATCCATCTATGGTCTATGGCTATGAGTGTGTGATGTTGTTAGTGTGGTGTTCATTTTTCCATTGGCTTCTTTCTCTTTGCTTTCAGATGGCTGACATTGTTACAGAACAACAGATTCAAATTCAGCGCCTTGAGCAAGCTCTTCATATTACACAAGTAAGTTTTTTCTGCTTGAAACTGGCTTTAGGTTCTTTATTTGCTAAATTCATAAGTTTTGCTGATTCACTAATATTTTATAGTTTCTTCTTGGTTGGACTGCTTTTCATTCTTTGGATATTGCATTTCTGTTATAGATTTTGACATTTGGTCATGCCCTCTTGTTTTCTGAGAGAAAAAAGAAAAAATCAAGATTTGGCTCCTCCTCCTGTTGCATAGGAACCCAAACCCAACGCACCAAAGGACAGAAAAAAAAGAAAAGAAATATTACACCACCTCAAGTGAAAAATCTAATTCATTTAAGCTTTTATATTTGTTCTTGTATCAGCATCTGTGTTTCTGTTGTGTGAACTCCACCTCAACTCCAAAGAAAATAAATAATAAAAAATTAGAGGTTGCATTTGCTAACGCATGGGTTGGGAATCTCTTAATTATATTTAACTTTTCAAACTAACTTCAAAAGCACCAGATTAACATACCAACATGAAATATCGTTTATCGAGTCTCCATTAGTGTAAAAGGACTGTGACTTCATTAGCTGAAAATGTTTTAGAAGAAGGATAGACCTCGAGTTCATTGACATCCCTTTCACTATAAAAACCAGGTTTTTAAGGTTAGGCAATGACACTTCAATTTTGAAGCATAGCAAAGATTATTCAGCAAACATCTCCAATTTTAAAGGATTCAAAAGGTGACAAATATTTTAATCTGATCTCTTAACAATTTGTGTCTAATAATGGCTAATATGCTGTTAGAGAAACAGCGATAGAGGTGTGCATATCACTGTGCTGGTTGTAACATTCGGCTAATATGTACCTACAGGAACTATGAATATGTCTGTTTTCTAACTGTCCGGCATTTAGTCCCATATAGCATGGCTGGTTTAACAGATGTTCTATAAACTTAGCTTTCAATTCTAGCAAAATATGATGTTCACTCTATATATATGCTTAACAAAACCCTCCATTTTACCTATCGTGCTTTGATTCTACGAGCCACATAATCTCCGTTCTCCCCTTGTATATATGGATGATTGAGTACATGCTAGATAGTGAAAGCTTTTGCTTTTTGATATACTCTTAGTGGTGCAATTGGTTGCTCTTGTGTCTTCGTCAGAACCAAGGCCCCTCGTGGTTAGCAGAATTCAAAGGAATATGGTTCCAGTCCAGTGACCATCTAGTAGATGCAACTTTGCCTGCTACTGAAGTCAAATCGTCAGAACTGAGTATAGGGAATGGTACAAATAATCTTCACTATTATTATCAAC